CATATTTTTGTGTAAATTGATCAAAGGTAACATATCATGAATCAGCATTTTACCCAAAAACTGATAATTGGCGTTCTCGAATTTGAGCGGCAAGTTGTTCACAATAGGCCTACAGAATGTGAAAACGAAAGTTTAATAATCTACACTTCCAAAGTAAATTTCCTGCCTTCTTTGACAATGACAATTTTCTTAATCTGTGAAGGCACATGGAGTAGCAAGGTACATGTATCCTCATCATCATTACATGATGGGCAGGGGCGGATCCAGGATTATTTGAAGGGGGGTCCGGAACGACAGGCCTCACATGTAAAACCAACCGTCGCCCCCTTGGTGTGGAGTTCGGGGCCTGCTCAAGGGTCTGGAGAAATTTTTGGGTGTTTTGGAGAGCAAACAGTGCCCTTCGGTACGGTTTAGACCTATGATTTATCTAGTCAAAATTCTAATTTCAAGAGGGGAGGAATGTTGGTGTGATATATTTTTCAGAAACCAAAGGGTGGGGGTCAGACCCCCCCCTCCCTCTTAATCCGCCAATGATGGGGAGAAGCAGTAGTGTTTTTTGGGAGCTTCTCAGTATCTAAACTGCTGCTGCTACTGGTGGTGCTGCTGCTGCACGAAGCGGCTGGGGCTGAATTTGGTCGAGGGGGGGGGGGCTGTAAAGGCGTGTTCAGCCTTGTCCTCCATCGTCCAACACAGAACTACACACACTGGACAATAGAAGTGTCACCTCCTGAATCAGAGTAATCAAAGTTATTAACCTGAAGAGGAGGAATATAAGCAATGTCAGAATATCGACGCAGTTGACTTGTTTCTTTTGTGAAATTTGATGTTAATAAAATTATACCAAGAGCATATTATTCCACAGCCATTTACCTCCCCCAAAGTAATGGTTCAGTAGGGGTGACACTTCCGTTGTCCAGTGTGTGTAAGTGACCACAAAGACCCCTAACATGTATGAGTAAAATATTGCAAGGGCAGTGTTGTAGCCAATCAGCAGCACTGGTAGCACTGTAATAGAGGCCGTGGTTTAAGCCAGATAAAACACTCGACGCTGAACTGTACGTGAAAATTACTCGTGTATTGTTTCGCCTGCGACAATGCACCCGTAATATTTCACGTACAGCTCGGCGACTCGTATTGTATCTATCACATACTGCAAGTATACAACTGACAATAGATCGTGACAAGGCGCTACAATACGGGTGCATCGGTGAGTACTGCTCACTGGTTAGCAATAGTTCAAGTCAGCCTTATTGCCTCGAAAATGCATATCTATATCTAGATATATCACCATGAGCTTAAACAGCAAATCAAAATACTTTGACAAGAACACAATGAAAATTACAGCTGATAAGAAACCCACCAGTCAGCCGGCAAAAGGGTCCCACAGCGAAGTCTCTAACACAAGCACGGAAGAAACATCTTTAATTTGGGCAAAACTAGAGGAAATTGAATTTGCAATCAGAAATACTGTAAAAAGAAAATGATCTAAAAGACATTGTCCAAGTAATGGTCGCGGAAACTGTTACAAAACTTTTACTTAATTCCAAAAGCGAAATCGGGACAAAACTTGAGAAATTAGAAGACAAGCATAAAATGGACATTGGAGATCTAAAGAAACGAATCGATTCTCTGGAATTAGAAAATGATGCTCTTCGAGAACAGCTGGCTGGAAAAGAAAAGTCTCTCAGAAAGCTCACTGAAACAGCGGAACAAACAAACTATGCGTCAAACAATGCTGTCAAATTGGCGAACTAAAATGAACAATACTCCCGGAAAAATAAACATAAAAATGAACGGGGTGGTAGAGAAGGAACACGAGAACACTCGGGGATGTTGTGTGCAAGGTGCTTAAGGAACAGGGAGAAGTACAGAAAACGGCTGATGACATCACGGCGGTGCACATAATTCCCGGTTTTCAAGGGTCTCCCCGGTCAATTCTTATTCATGTTAAAAACACGGAAATCAAGGTATGTATCATGCAGAGTAGATCTACCTAGAAGAGCCACGATAAAGGTGATCGGCTGGCTGACGATATTACCAAACTAAACACTCAATTACTGCAGCGCCTTAAAAACGAGCACATTGAACAGTCATGGTTTTATAATGGGAGCGTGTACGGTAAAGTGAAACACACTGGCCAGAGCATGAGTTTTTGTATTGACAATGGCATTGACAAGAAAGTTAAAATAAGAAAATAAAACATTAAACCAAATGTACTCTGATTACAACAAATATATGATGAGTTACATGTACATTCCGTTCTCCATCTATACAAATATGTTATATTACTTAAAGAGGAGATTGGGTTTAATGGAAATTTTATGAATTCTCTCGTGATAGGTATGTGGTTTATTGTTTAGTAGTTTACGTGCCCCTTGATTACTGCTACAGTATGTGAACATAATTTGGAGGTACGATTAAAGTTAAAGGGTATAAGAGGTATGAAAACTATATGTCATTTGAATTTATAGACAATAATGTTTTACATATACCTTTCTGAAAGACCTGACATGTGTGGCTTAGTGGATGTATGTAAAATTAAGGAGTAACAGATGGCTTTACTGCAGTCTTAAGGCATCATGCCAATTTTTTAAAATTAATCTACATATACGAAAATGAGATTGAATTGCTTGTTGTGACACATGTACATGTTCTTTCGATATCCTTGTCAATATTTTGAGATACGAAAAACAGAAACATTCCGCTGCTTGCTATCTGTGACAGCAACCGTCATACTATCGATCAATCTTTGACAACAGCTTTATGCAGCCGTCAGATTTTATAGATCTATGCAACTTGGGCCATCTGGCCTAGCATTGAGGCGCATGTTAATCAAAACTTTAATATGACAACTTATGATTACTTGGCGCTACGATGGTGACATTAGCCTCTAGCCCTGTCTTAATTATATCTGCTTACCAATGATCATCGAAAAAATTACTATGATAATATCTAACCATTCCACCAGGCAGACAGTGAACACAAGTGTCAACGATATTGACATTAAGCTCTAGTCTTGCTAACATGCCATAACATAACATAACATGCCATTATTTTGGCTTATCTGCAATTTTTTTAAAAATTTTTGATTGATCTTCTCTTTTCCATTTTATTGACGTTGAAAGTGAAAATTCCTTAATATTATGATGTAATTTCACATTTTTATGGATAAAATCAACAATAAGTATTTTGAAGTACTTTGTTCAAGTGTTATTAAAAGCATGTTTATAGCTGTCCAGTGCCTGAGAAAATCAGGCAACTGAAAATGATGTTTTTGTCCCAAAAACCCCAATATTACGTCACACGATGAACTTGGAGCTGTGTTCAAAGCATAATTCGGTGTTTTGAAGATACATTTAATGAATGTAACAGAAATAAAAAAAAGCCAAGACCCTTATTAAAAAAAAAAAAAAAATCTTCCACCTGCATCCCTCTCTGATTTACTTCCTAGCAGTTTCAGTATACATGACAAACATCTAAGCCGCTTAATTATAAGTTGACTTCAATTTAGCGAGAATCCCTTTGGATCCACAGTTAGTACGATAGGGTCTGGGGATGGTCCCTAAGTTCTTGTCCAACATGGGTCCCATGACTATAATTGAGCCGAACAAGAAACACAAGAAGCAAATAACATTAGTATAGGTGTTTCAAACCCTAATGTTGTCTGGAATATTATATACTGTATATCACACTTATTTGCTACATTGATAAGCTTTCAGTATAAATTATAGGGCAATGGTTCTTTTCCTCAACCGCTAGCACGATAAATACACAACATCACATCGTTCACTAAGTGTTGGCTAAGAATATAACTTTTCAAATGTTTACAATCATTTATAATGATTAATAAGAAAATTAGCTGTTTTGGATATGCTAATATTCATTGATATCATTTAACGTCCATGCATTTTCGGTGTACATATACCTGCATATGTATTGCTACATTACTACTAGCGGTTAAAACATGGTGAATTTGTATTTTGGGTAGGAGGCCTTGGATTACAGAATGAAATCTTTGACTGTTTTAGACTGGGTTCCCATGCCTAGATCAATCCAACAGGATCCAACAGGATCGATCTACCTCCAAGGATTCACGCTAAATTGCTATCAACTTAAGCGGCTTAAATGTCTGTCATGTTTTCGAACCAGCTAGGGGGTAATTAACATTCATGCACACTCGGCCTCTGGTAGTTAATTACCCCCTAACAGCTTTAGTATGCGTGACAGCCACTTAATGGAGCGTTCATATTAAAAATCTATTTTCTATTCGTGGTATCTTGTGATCACGGTCTGTGCCCTTAATACCCCGCGGCGTAATTACTGGCAGCACGACACAGTTACTTCCAAAGCTGTAATTAATTCTCGGCTGCGCTCGGAGTGATCACAAGATACCGCGAATAGAAAATAGATTTTTAGAAAATAGATTTTTCATATGAACGGTCCCTAAGAGATAGAACGATCCAGAGTTAGTACAATATCTCTGGGAATGGTCTCTTAGATGAAGTACCAAATAATTTACGACTGAAACAATTTAAAAAGACCCATTTCCTACTAACATACCTTTGTAAAGAAGGTACATGTATCAACAAAGTGGACAGTCGTACCTGTGCTGATAACAATAAAGATTATCATGAAAAGGTGTGAGAGATAACATGAAATTTACTTATGAACATGGGATTATGCACACTGGTTTTACTGCTTCTATCACTCTGTCCAATTTGGAAATAAGAATGAAATAACATAATATTAATGCCAGCATTTGAAAAAGAGTTCACAACATTATTAATACAACACGATTCACTAACAAGTTATGGCTTCAGTGTACTCACATAATTTAGAATTACAATAACAATATTAAAAATACAGCAAACCTTAATTTCAGGTTGTGACTCCCCCTCCCCACCCCCACTAACTACGATGGGTGATCACACAGTTACGTAACCATTTTATCCAATCCCAAAACTGACCTGACATCACCCAAAAGTATATAGTACATTTCCTTTTTTTAATGGCAGTGAAATTACGTAAGATATAAAGGGTTTTTAAAGCAGAAAACCCCAACAGTTAAACCCTTAGTACAACTCCGTGTCGTTGTCTAATATTAATAATCTAGGAAAAATGCATTTCAGCAAAAATATAAGCAACATTTATCAGTTGACTCCTTTTTCCTGCCACATACTCCTACATTGTGTTCAGTCCTTCGACGAGTCTGTTCTTGGCCCTCCTGTCACATCGCCAGACCTGTAATTTAAGGTACTCAACTCACTAGAACACCAAGGCGGATTCTGTATCTCTTGTAAATATTGAAGGTTTGCAGAGTCATTCAAGATTTGCAAATAAACATTTTAGTTTTTTAATACAATTTATTTTGCAATCTACAGGTATATATTGCATTTTATTAAGTAATGCATTATGGGTGTCTGTGAAAAAAGTTACCCAAAATGGGGTATTTTTATCATATACATTGTATGTACATATGGGTGCAAACGGTGAAGCTTGAATACAAAAATGGTCATAATTAAAATGTGAAAATTGGATGTATTGTCACAAAAAAAAAAATTCTTGTATATATTTAAAATACTTATGCCTAATCTTTCAAAGACTGAGCCTCATCACCCTGATAACTAACTGGGTCCCCTTTTCAAATACCACCTTCTCTTACTTCTCTCCTCTTGCCCAGCCTGAATATTGTACTCTTATTTTTATAATTATTTCCTTTCTTTTTCCTAACATTATTGTACAGATATATTGAAATAAAACAAACCTTGTGTTTAATAATCAATTTTTATCACTTTTTTTCTACAACCAGGTCAGTTAAACAGCTTAAGCCAATCAACAACAAATTTTATCAAGAAATCTATTATAGAGAGTCTTTGATATTCAAAAATACCATCCTGGCTTATCCTTCAAAGCTGCATTTGAACAACTCCTTTAAAACTGTATGTAAACAAGCATCTTTGACAGTATTATTATGGCACAAGTAAATACATTTCTTGGGTAGTTACTGACAGCTGTGGAAGCAGGTTGGGGTACTGGAACAAAAGAAAAAAATTAAAATAATCAGAGTTTTAATGACAGTTTGCAGGATTTTTAAACTTTAAGCTCCAGTTCTCTTCAAAAAACCGTATCACTGTTGCGTTTACATCACAATATGTAGGTGTTCCTGTACATGTAGGCTATATTTTTGGATTTTCTCAAAAACATGTCACATAAAAACATACTTGAAAAAGTGAAATTTAAGACTGAAACCTCCATCGTAGATTTTTTTAATGCTTAGGGACACCCATCTGTACCCATCTGTCTCCTTTCCCTGCAGACATATGGAACTACCGCTACTGAAGTTAAAACTATTTTGATTGGATATACATGGTTAAAACTATTTTGATTGGCACATACATGCATGTATACGGTTACTTCACCTTTATTGCCCACTCCTTCACCCTGTTCAGGTTTTGCAGAACAGTAAAACAACAACACTTAGTACAAACATACCCTGACATGTGGGAACTGTTGCGTCCCAGTCTACTCTGGCTCCAGATGCACTACATCTAACAAGTTTTGTGGTAGCTCCTCCTCCTCCAACCAGTTCATAACCATCCTCACATGTGAACTCTATCACTGTGCCATACACGTAGCTTCCACTGGTGTCATTGCCTGTCACATGATTGTTGCTGTTTAGGGTGTAATTAGAACAAGAAAATGCTGGAAAGAAAAAACCAAGACAAAAGATAAGACAAACTGCATTTCACGTCTCATTCTTATGTGTAACTTTTACTCGAATTAGAAACAATTATAACTGAAAATGAAAACAGAAATGACACAGTCAATGGCTAGACATAATAGTTTTCTGAAAATTCAAAATCATGCTACATTTTTACAATAAGCAAGACTTTTAACTGTGAGATTTAAAAAAAGTGTCAAAATGGAAAGAGTTCTTTTTTAATGGAAAAGCTGGCTTGTAAACATTGA